TGTTGATATTGATAATGTTTATATATTCATGATCATATCATATAGCTAATGATGTCCACGCCACATGATTGTTTATTTTCCCATGGCATGAATCATCTTAATTAACCAACCTCACCTAATCTATCAACCTTTATTAGTTGTTGATTACAAAGAGGAGACTGTGTTTTTGGCGTAAACATAGATGTATGTGCTAAAGATTTGAACGCTGACTCTTTTTTCTGAACTAATTTTCAAATTAGACTATTCATGAACATGTCATGATCGCGTTGACAGCTCCTGGTTGCCTTTGTTTTTTAAAATAGCAGTGAGTACTAATCACAGAAAGAAGTGAGACGGCTTACACTTGTTTGCTGATTACAGGCCATTTAAGCTTAGGGGTCTCAAGTCATGCCTGAATTTTCGTCATGCAAATACTATCACGACAAAAAAAGATGGAAAAGAGAAAGAAAAAATCACAGAAACCAAAATCACAACAGAGAAATCACCACAAAAAGGTAAGGAAAAGTTACTCCAACACTCAAAAACTGAACCAACGAATAATCGTCAGCGGCGTATCACTATTAAACACTAGCTTCCTGTTTCTCAGAGTCAGAACGTTAAGGGTGGTGGCAAAAAAAGTGGAAACGAAGATGATACATGCACCCAAGAAAATGACAGGGAGTGATTTGTCTCGATCCGGCCAGCTTTCTTGAAAAAGCTTAATTTTTGTGTTTTCTCACATCTGAAATTTTCAAGAGATCTTCTTTGCCCAGTCTAGCCAACCTCAAACACTGTGTCAAACAGTGTTTAACACACAACCCCATTTCGTAAGTATCGGGACCAAAAGTATTTTTTCTTTCTTCCAGTTTGGAGATCTTTCATGGGAGAAGCTGTGCTCTTTAGCTGTATCTGTGCATTCTCTGCTCACTACTTTTGTGCATGGATTTGGACTCTTGCGTACTTAGTTGGCAGCATTTGGCATGGGGTACGAGTACGTGCGTGCATGGCCAATCGAATTGCCAATACGAGCGAAAGTACGTCGATTTAGTTCACAGGCCAAACGAACGTTTTCCTCTCACCTATTCTGCTATTTCACTTGAATATGGAGTGGTCATTTTTCCTTTCTGCTTTTTCACAAAACTCCTTGAAATAGGCAAACAATTGCAAAGATAGTGATTACTGATTGTTATCGCCTAATTAGTGCGAAACATGGATTGTTTTGCAATTGGGTTCATATCCATAGAATATATAAATTAATTAACTTTTTTTAAATCAATTTGTTGACTTATATAAGCCACGAGTCGAAATCATAATAAATAACCCAAATGTGGAATCGTCTGCATATTAAGATTGGAAAAGGTCAAGCAACACATGGCAGTTTTAGATTACATGTATCGATTAGTGATTGGGTGTCAATGAACAAAAGAGAACTATCATACATTGCAATAATATGAATTTTCATGAATTCATAATCCAAACTTGACGCGTGGAAGAAAGTTACCAACTGCCAGGTCATGCCATGGCTTTAACTATGGAATGAGCATTCCATTCCACACAGTTGCTTAGTAATAATTAACTTATGAGTTGTTATTATAATATTAATTAATGATATCAGATTAAACAAGAAATCATTAAATTAATTATACTTTCCATTATTGATATTGTGGATTATTTCTAATAATAATAATAATAATAATAATAATAAATAACGACGGCGGCGGTGATAATATAAAGAATATTGTAACACTAAATAAAAATAATTATTTCTTTTATATTACTTAATATATTCCTGATTTTAAATTAGCAAATTGGTAAGTTAAGCTATAAAATAATTTTTGTATACCACTTTAACATGATTATATTTACAGAATTGATTTTATTATATAGTAAAACCTAACTTAAATATCTTGAAATCTCAATTTCATTCCATTCCATTCCCAAAATGTTTTTTTCTAACAATTAAATTATACAATTTTTATTTCATACCGTGCCTGCATCACCAAAACAAAAGAACCAGAATTCTCATTCCTTTCTTTTTTTCATTCTATTTCCTTTCCTTCCATTCCATTTTAGTGCACCACACGCAACGTTAGTAAAAACGGAACGGGAGCACAACCCAAATGGAAAATTTGACTAATTTTCTAAAATCAAACATAACAATATAGGGCATCCTTCCCAGAATAAGATACCTTTAATAATTAATGGAGCATGGTAACGAGGGAAAGTTTTATTTGAATTTATACATAATTGAAGAGGCGAGATTAATAAACCAAATCCCCACCTCGTGTCCCTCGAAATAAGAATTTTCTCATCGTCCGTTTAGATTGAAAAGGCGAGATGAACGATGATATAAAGTGTCCAATAGTGTGAATTGAAAAAGAGTCCGAACATTCAATGTCATCATATTGGCATGAATGTAATCTGTGCAAAAACAAAGGGTTATTTTGTCCATGCGTAGAGAGTCGGGAATGGTTTCCAACGATGCATTTGGTTTTCCCTTCAAGAATCTATAGATGATCGAGGTGAGGACAAATTGCCAAAGAGGTGAAGTAACTAGCGAGTCAAACAAAAGAAGATCAGATCACATACACAAAGAAGCGTATAAGCGAAAGGGACATTGCAAAGGATTGCATCTTGACTCTTCTTCTTCATCATCTTCTTCTGATACCGTATTCATTACAGCCCCATGCTAGGGTTGAAAATTCGCAACTTCTTTCCTCCCCTCAAAATTCGAAAAATCCGAGTCCCTATAACTTCTTCTTATGCCTTTCGAACTAACGTGACTTACAAGGTAAAAGATGTGAAAACAGATGACAGAGACAGAGACAGAGATGCGTTTAATAAGTGATGATGGTTATGTCACATTGCCACTCTCACTGCCACTTCTGTACTTCCCTGTTTACCTTCTCTCACATCACTCCCTCCTTTTCTTTTTCTGCTTAGAACTGAAAATCCCCCACATGCAGAGTGCAAGAGAGGGTGTGCTTTCTTTTTCCCTTTTCTTTCAATTTCTTTACTTCATTTTGCAACTTGGTGGAGCTATACACGTATTTGGGAATGTCAGTGATCTCTGTTCATCATTTATTTCTTCTTCCTCATTTGTTTCCTTCTCTATATAACGAGCTTCCTTCGGTCTCTTCATCAAGGACGTCTCTTTCCCATTTCCATCACTTCAGAGTCACCCAAGTTACAGGTACGCTTTGGCATGAGATATGAAGACCCATTTGATCCTCTCCTTGTTCAAATCTGTCTCATCTTCCGTCTGTTTTTGGCGAACACCGAGAAAACTTTGCATCATGGGAAAGAACCTCTGTTCTTGCTTGGTCAAGAGGAAGAAATGGAAAGCGGGTGTTAAATCAATCTCTTGACGGTGCTATCCTTCCCTGAGCTGAACAATATGATGATTTTCTGTTTTTAAATTTTTTTCTTGACCTTGCAAGGCTTTTTAGGTATTTTTAAATTTTTATGGCCGCTCTTAATTTTATTTTTGTTTAAATTTTTAATATATATCTTAGTCAAATCTTCTATTTTAATGTAGGTTGTCTATTCCTCCTGAGCTTTAACCTTGTCAACTGTGCAGAGATCACTTCTTTTGTTAAGACAAGTTTCATATGGTTTCATCGTTATTCTTGTGGCCATCTCTATTTTATTTTAGATATTTAGAAAGTAAATGCATGTTCATGAGGAGCACAAAATTTTCAAGAGATCTTCCCGAAGTTGCTTGTTATGATGTTTCTCGTTAGATTTTTCTCTCTGAATAAAGGGCGAGAGAGTGACTGCTCGAAAGGCGTCATTCAAGTAATTTGTATTATTTACATGCTTGAAAATGAATAAACTGAGCTCAAGGTAGAAGATGAGGTCCGTGTTCATAGCCAATACGCAGTATCATATATAACGAGCTAGGGTTTTGCTTTCCTTTTTCCCCCTTTACCTTTAAGTCAAGTCATTTGAGCGTAGGTTTCTCGGCAAAACTGGAGAATAAACGCGTCCCTAGATCAGTTCTTGCTTTTTGTCCCCTCAGGCTTAAAGGAATATATAGTCCAGCAGAACGAGTTTAAGAAGAGCTTAGTGTTTATAATGGTGTTAAAATCAGCCACATTCGAGTAGACCATGCAAACACGTGGAGCGCAGGAAACTACTTAGAGAGACTGCACGTTAATCTAACACCAACGATTTGGGAAATATCATTAATATATAGGTGAATTACTGATCGCCTAGATAAGGGAAACCAAGGAAATTGCTGCAATCACAAAGCTCCCATTCAAGAAGTCGAGGAATTTATGAAAGATTTGAGTGGGGAGTTCACGTGTTCATGTTCACCATTTCAATGTCGTACCAAGGATCTCCATCCGATAAGAACAAACACTTGATGTGGGCATAATGATTTTGGATGATTTTGAAATGCTAAAAAATGTTCGTTCAGATTTATTTGTGCTGACTTGGTTTAGTTCATGTGGCAAACTAGAGCCAGATATTTGAATATGCGATTTACATTCGAGCACTCAATACAAGTCTTTGGACTAAAACAGAGTATAGGGTCGCATTATTTTGTAAATCAATTTGATAGCTAACCGATCTTAGTATCAGGTCTCTAGCATGATTTAATTCTCATACTTAATAGCCATGAAAAATAAAACTGCCCGAAATCTCGATTTATCCGGGACATAATGTAAATGTCTCTATGGTGAGTGTTGCTTTTGCTGAAGGAAGATTTAGAGAGAGAAAGGATTAATCATGAGTTACCAAGAGAGATAAGCATAGCTTAAAAATAAGCAAAAGGACGCATCGCCAAAGGACTAATAACATTGATTTTGGGCAAACACGACCATCTGGACTAAACTACTGATAGGGTTAACTAATATACCAAGAGATGGATCTACAAGGGTTGAAAGGTTTTGTTTAGAAGATGTACAAACAGTGAATGAGATGTTTCCCTCGATAAAGGCAGAAAAAACTGGAAAAACAGCAATTAGGACATAAGACATTAGGTATTTACAGTGTTGTCACTTTTGTAGCTAGTATCTCAAGCAAAATCTGATCGACAGGTAAAGAAAGTGAGAAGAGCCTTATATACTGGGCATTCTTTATATGCTTTACTGTACTTTAATTGGAAAATAAAAGATTGCCCTGGAACTTCCAGCATCCACTATTCTGTAGTAGCTACATACTGACTGAATGCCAAAAACCACGTTCTTCGGCTCGCCGATCATAACCTGATTGTCTTAAGGCCAATCTCCAGCACCTCCTTAGGTGATTCCGCAGTTTCCTATCAATAGAGAAAGGAACTAGAGGACTTGTGCTTGGAGCTCCCAAGCAAAGTCTCGGGTTTATTTTCGTTGAATATAATTTGCGAAATCTCAAGACACGGAAAGATGATCTCAGCAGCGAGATTCGCATGCCATGGAAAGTTGGCTTGCGATATCGGTTTTCCAAGAAAGTTGTCTCGGGCCCAGCTCCATAACATGTGCAGAAGGCAAGAGATGGGCTCACATTCGTGATCTCCTTATCAACCGGCCTTGTCCCTGGAAGCTTAACAAACGAGACAATGCCGTGCCGGCAGAGGGGACATGCAATAGAGCCCGGAGAACCGTGAACAATGACGGAACAGCTCGTAGTAGAACACAAGTACAGGGCACACCTAGTGCAGAACTGATGACCACAACCTGCATCGGTAGCATGTACCATTCAATGAAATTGTCGGCATATTCAGGTAACAATGAAATATTGCCCCGACTGCATTCACTAACACAGAGAGAGAGAGAGAGAGAGAGAGAGAGAGAGAGAGAGAGAGAGAGCGAAATCGTGAGAACAGTTCTTTAAATTTCTTGGTATACCTTCTGCAGCCACAGAGCACATCCTCTCTAGGCAAACCACGCAGGTTTCTTGGTATGATGTGTGCAAATTGCTGCTTTTCCATCCACATTCTCTGGAAATGTTAAAAAGGGGGGAAAATTGGGTTTCTTACTTGCCGCTTGAAAATCATTCGCCACCCAGGCATGTAACCAAGCAAAATCATAAACTGCCATCAGATCACAGCAATATGCAAGGCTTTCGCCTTCTGCTTAGTGTTGATACTATAACATTCCTGCTTAATAACGAAGTAACTTTTTTGGCCAGAGACTACCACAGTGACTTGACATGGTTTTTCATCATCTCACCTAAATATTTCATTTAAGGTTTTAGGCGACCATTTACTTGCATGATGGCACGGGTTTTATGAGAAGAAGGCCAAATCTTTACACGGCCAACACCATCTATTGTCAACGTTCAGTGAAAGAGCCAATAGCAAAGATTGATGCATAAGTGGGTACACAGAAATATAGCAAAATCAGAGGATTCATACATATGTGGTGCAGAGAACAAAGGTTTGAGAAGATACGGCATCTATGGCACAGAGAAGAAAAATCCAATGAATTGATGTTACGAAAGAATATTGCTTTGTTAAGGATTGGTTTAGAATCCTGCATAATCTGGACTTCAATTTGTGCAGAAAATTAGCACAATTCATACGAACGAAAAAGCATTTTTTTTTTCCAGAGATACAAGAAGAAAACCAACAAGTCGGTCAACGCTTCTTCCGTGCATGATAGTAGTGCACATAAAAGTTTAGATCCTACTCACCTAGCAATGTTGACAATGCTCATCAGAGGAAGAGATATGTAAGGCGAAGGATGAGTTTGTAGCAGACCATCTGGTTGTCCGCTAAGGATTTCCTTGAGCCAATTTCTGTGCCATGAGCGAGCAATCATCAAAGGAGTCCGACTGTGAAGAAGGCAGAGTCGTTGAGATAAGTTTTTAGTGCTATGCTGATGGTGCCAAGCAAACACAATATACACCAAATCAGAATGTCAAAGGACAAAAAATTAATTGTACGTGAGGAAATATACACAACTCAAATGACAAAGTATATGAAACCATGTGATGTTGATGCGTACCCGTTACTGTTTACAGCAGTAAGACTCGCGCCATGGCCTATCAGGATCTGAAACATAATGAAACAATTTTAATCCTTAAACAAGTACTCTCGAGGAATCGACCATTCTAGTTAATGTTTCTGTGTTTTCCTTTTATTTTTTTTGCATTAGAAGGTACCTGACAACATTGTTCATTTCCACCACATGCAGCATAATGAAGGGGAGTACTTCCAGCACCTGCATAGTGATGAAGCAGTTCGCAGTTTATAAGCACACAATATTTGAGGAGGCAAGGTAATCTGAAATCAATGTCATAGACGCAGGAAAAGAAAGAAGAGAGGCCAATTGAACATTCATTTTGATGTGCCACTAGCCACCACTAACACCAAACATACTCGATAACAAAAACAAAGAAATAGACACCAAATTAAGTTATGCGGTAGAAGAGTAGAAATAGGGAACAGTTTCATCAGTCACATTAATCACCTATAAGGTCCATGGTAGTTCCATCATCCTCAGTAACAGCAGAAAGAGAAGCTCCAAAGTCCAAGAGAAGTTGCACGCTTTCAAAGTGGCCATTAAGCGAAGCCATGTGCAGAGCAGTTATGCCCCCATCAGCAGCCCTGTTGACGACCTCATAAAGGGCACTCGAGCAAGCAATACAGAGTAGCATAAGTAAGACACGGGTAAAAAGAAAAAGAAAATCCTAGGGTGAAAGAGACTTAAAAGGGAAGAACCTTTGATCAAACTCCGCAATAGACTCCAAGTTTTCTGATTTTCCCCTCATGACATTGAAAAGATCTTGCATACTTGGTATATAATCTACAAGGAGGAGGCGGATGCACAGAGAATGGCCATTTAATGCAGCAAAGTGTAGTGCAGTGCCCCCATTGACATAGTCCGCTCTGTGAATCTGTATTTAAGAGCCAAGCAATCAAGGCGGTCTATGTGAGCTAACAGACCGTGTGTACATGGAAGAAGTTGTAGAGTCTCACATCAGCTCTAGAAAGAATTAGAGTCTGAACAACTTCCCAGTGACCATACTGGCAAGCTTGCATCAAAGCTGTCTGTTCAATGCATAAGAGAAGTCAAACTAAACTGTAATTGAGCTTGATCACAAAAGCACTTAATTCTACAGGCCACATAAATGATCAAATTTCCTGTGAACCTGAACAAATAACAAATGGAGTAACAAGTAGAATTTCCAGAGGACGAGAAGATCAACATCACCTGACCACGGTAATTCCTCAGATTAATATCCACCCTGGACTCGAGCAATAGAGAAACAATCTAAACCAACGGAACAACAAAGCACCATCAGGAAGCAATTCCAAGAACCCGTAATTACAAGAAATGAGATCGATTTTTTCCTGAATCAAAATGAGATAGATCATTAGCTTACCTCATGGTGGCCCTGAGCAGCAGCATAATGGAGAGGGGAGTTGTGAACACTGAGAGTGGAGTACCTCACGAGGCGCGGATTGCATTCCAGCAAAGTCTTGGCTTCTACGAGGTCGCCATCTCTCGCAACCGAAACTAGGCGTTCCCCATATGCTGAGCATCAAAAGGAGTTGCTTAAGAGGTTTAGGACTCTCATTGGCGCTCATCAACCAAATGACGAGCTCAAGGATCACAGTAATCACTAGGCAATGTGACTTGAAATGATCTTGTGGCTTCCCAAAATGCCTCGAATTTTCCAGAGGGAAGCACGACATAAACAGAACTATTTTGGATCTCCAAAACATCAGACAACGGGAAACCCATCATTATGCGAATGTTCGGTTCAGGCTGGCTAGTGGCTGCAGCGCTACAGCCAAAAACTGGGAAGTTGTGTTTGTCCGTGTGACTTTTGTAAAGCAGAGGCCGAGGGTGTTTTTGTGATAATGGTTGACTTTTTATCTGTAATTTGACTTGGCTTTAATAACAACAACAGTTGGAGTATTTACTATTTCCCACATCTCAACCTCAGATTAAATTTTCTGGCCAAAAACCATACACAGATCAGCCATACTGTGGTCATGGCAATTGGCTGTCTTTAGGGCGCCCTTCTGACCTATCATTTTTTAAGGGAAAACGTACTTGTTTAACTAAACTATATATCTAAATATTTGCATACTATTCAGATTTTGTTTTTATATTGTTTTACTCCATTTGCTTATCATTTGAATGCACTAAATGTCTAGATGCTATGTGCACGCATACTCCATGTAAATACTTTTATATATCTACTGTAATCTAGGTGTAATAGCATTTTTTTATTATATTCGACAATGATCGTTTTATTTGTGAATAAAGTATAAAGGCAATGATTTATCAATCAAGGAAGAACTAATATCACATTTAATATTCACCACATCTCAACCTCAGATTTATATTTCGGGCCAAAAACCATACTCAGATCGGCCATGCTGTGGTCAGGGCAATTAGCTGTTTTTAAGGGCCAAATGTACTTGTATGATTAAAGTAAGTATCTAAAACAATTACATACTATACAGAATTTTTTTTTTTGGTATTCTTTTACTCGTTTTGCTTATTATTTAAATACACTAGAAGTCTAGATGCTATGTGCACGCATATTCCATGTAAATACTTTTCTATATCTATTGTAATCTAGTTGTAATAGCATTTTTTTATTATATTTCACAACAATTATTTGTGAATAAAGTATAAAGGCAATGATTTATCAATCATGGGAGAAGAATAATCACATTCACTATTTACCACATCTCAACCTCAGATTTATTTTTCGGGCCAAAAATCATACTAAGATCAGCCATACTGCGGTCACGGCAATTAGCTGTTTTTTAGGGCCCTTTTGGCCTATCTTTTTTTAAGGGAAATGTGCTTGTTTGACTAAGGTAACTATCTAAAAGATTTGCATACTATACAGATTTTGTTTTTATATTATTTTACTCCGTTTGTTTATTATTTGAATACATTAGAAGTCTAGATGATGCTATGTGCACGCATACTCCATGTAAATACTTTCTATATCAATTTTAATGTAGGTTTAATAGCCTTTTTTAATGTATTTCACAATGATCGTGAATAAAGAATAAAGGCAATGATTTATCAATCAAGGGAAAAGAATAATCACCTACTCTAATTTTGGAAAAGAAGCTGGAGTTCAGGAGGAAGCAACAAATCCAGAGTTTTTACAATGGAGAATGTTAGATCGTCTTCTGGAAGGATGGATCATTGCAACGCTCTCTGAAGAAGTTCTTGCTGAAGTAGTAAACTTGAAGACATTTGTCGAGGTGTGGTTAGCATTGCAAAATATTTTTGCCAAGGTATTGGAGGAACGTGAACTTTTAATTTTTCTACAAATTCAAAAATGTCATAGAGATAATTTTTCATCTCTTCATGAGTATCCTAGTACTTTTCAAAGATATTTTAACGAGTTATTTGCTATCGGTTGTCCTCTTGAGGACAAAAAGAAGGGTCTCTTTGTTTGAACGGTTTAGGTGATCAGTATGATTCATTTACTACTTACATGTTGAAGCCTCCCATGCTAATCTTCTCTAACATGATTTTGCAACCGCAAAGTTTTGAGAGTCGGCTGACAAATAAAAGTTCCCTTGCAATTCAACAAGGGATGGCTTTCTTTGGTCAGAGATGTGATTTTAAGAGTGCCAAGAAGGGAAAACAATTCTAGCAACAATCATTTCTCTTTTCCGGAAGGGCATTTCCTCACAATTGTCTAAGAATGAAAAATTCTCAAGCTCATTTTATGCATTTGCAGGGTCAAAAGCCACAATTCAACCAAAGCAAGATCAACAAGCTTGTGAAAGCAACAAAAACAAAGTCGTTTTTTGTCAATTATGTAAAAAGTGGGGACAGAGTGCTTAAGATTGCTTTAATTGGTTTAATTAGTCTTTCCTCCCATTAGATGTGCCAAACGCGATTCCTGCACTGTTGGAAATAGTTCACTGATATTGGAGCTTTAAATCATCTGACTAGAGATGAAGGTAACCTCTTCAACTTACGACCATATATTTGGAAAGATAGCATTATGGTTTGAATGGTGACTCACTTAAAACTTCCCATGTTAATGATGCTCAGTTTGGGCCAAGAGAACATTGACATAAAAAAATGCTCTACCTATTCCTCAGAATTTATTATTAGTGAGCCAATTTACAACTAACTATTCTCTAAAATTTAAGTTTTTTGCCATTTGTTTTGTGATAAAGGACAGAAAAACGTGGAAGGTTCTAACAATTGGAGATTGCAAAGGTGACCTACATACCCTAAAGGCGCCAAAAGAAGCATTATTTTCAAACGGGTTCAGGAAAGCGGATGAAAGTTCTTGGCATTAAAGGTTGGGACATCCACAATTGACAACAATCCTTCATCTGCAAAATAAAAGCAATATCATGGTTGCTGCTTGGAATAACCTATTACCATATGTGGTAGTGGTCAAATGGGTTGAGCATCTAATCCTCCTTTCTCATATCTAGTACAACTGAACCTTTTGAAAAGATACATTCTGATTTGTGTGGAAATACTCCAATATTGTCATTTCAAAGGTTTTTTGATTTGTGGATGATTATACATGTTATACTCGATTGTTTCCATTACGGCAAAAATCTGACTTTTATACATGTTTTCTCAATTTTGAGAAATATTTGGAAAAACAATTTGGAAGGCATATTAACATAATTGTCTCCAAAATTACTTGATGGGTTCGTTTCCACATTGAGTAGCGAATTTGCAATGAAGATAGAAGGGGGCTTTTGCACTATTTTCTGGGTTTGGAGGTTAAGAAATTATTTGTTGCTCTTTATTTGTGCCAACAACAATATTCTTTGTCAATTGTTAAATGTGCACAAATGGAGGGCTACAAGTCAGTTTTCATGCCTATGGCCACTAGCTCTCATTCTAGTATCGATGCAAAACTATTTTCGAATCCTACACTATATTGAAGTATCCTTGGAGCTCTTCAATATGTTACAATCTCATGGCCGAATATTTCACATGCAGTCAATTTTGTCTGTCAATTCATGCACCAGCCTACTGTGAGTCATTTTCAAATTGTGAGGTGCATTAGCACAATCAACCGAGGAATGTGACTCTTGTCCAAGTCAACTTTTGACTTGTTTGCCTTTTATGATGGAGATTGAGATTGCTTCTTGACTTAACGATCAACTACTAGATTTTTTACCTTCTTCGGTGGCAACTATCATCATGGAGAGCGAAAAACCTAGTTGCTCGATTTAACACCGATTCAGAATATTGTGCAACGGCGTCAATAGTTGCAAAGATTACTTGGATGTCAATCCTTTGAAGAGAATTTAGGTATTCATCTCTCAAGTATGTCAAAATTAGATTATGATAATATTGGTGCACTTTATATGAAGATTAATCCCATATTTCATGCAAGAACTAAACATATAGAACTGGATTATTAATATGTGCAAGAAAAAGTGGCTTTGGGAACACTAAGTATGTGTCTCTACATTAAATTGATGATGTCTTCATGATGCCATTTTCTAGAAATGCATTTGGAAACTTATGTTGCAAATTGGGAATTTGGAATTCTCCCATTCCTAATTTGAGGGGGAGTAAAGGACTTGATTTATCGAGGGTTAATACCACGAAAAATCCTAAATTGGTATAAACTAATTTTTTGAATACCAAAAACCCCAAACCGGTACAGCTGTCACGCCCCGAACCCTACGAGCTCACAACATCCCACCAATGGTCATTCGAATGCGACATCTTAGGACTCGTCACCGACCCAACCCACTTACTAACGAGTGAACACATGCGGAAGCGAACTTGAAACACCCAAACAACAATCATACAAAGGGATAGTAAAGAAGACACCATATACACAAACCAATAAAGCCACTTTTATAAACATATGATTACTTAAAGAAGATACAATGCACAACCCTTGCTAGAAGCCACTATTTACGGACCACGCACAAGCAAAAAGGATTGGGTGGTCTGTTAACTTAGCTTCTCTACACAAAAGAGGGCGCTCAAAAAGACGGAGTAACTAAACCTATCATCAATCCCCGTGGTACCCCGGAGGCGTCCTCGGATTAGACTCTAAATAATCCGGCTCGGAATCTGAACTCTCGAGGGACTGGTGTCATGATCGATAACGGCCCCGTCGGGAGGATCTATCTCCATGGGATCCCACTCAGCAACTCCTAATCCGCCATCATGGGAACCATTAAAACCTCGAAGAGGACTAAGCAGAACATCCCCTTCCCGATAGAACCAAGCCAAAAAGGTGTGTGGCTTCCACAACACAAAGCCCTCGTCCACCCAAACCGTCGTCGCATGTGTTATATAAACCTTATCCTCTCCTACTGGGTACTCTATTAACATATGATCCAAATCCATCGGTACCCCAAAACGTTGGGGAGGACCATTCATGGTCGGGAGTATGAAATGGTTAAATAACAATAATAAGATAAAACTCAATAAGTAAACTCCCTAAATCTCGCTCAGGAAAACATGTACCTCCGGATCGCCCTAACATGCAATTCTAGCATAACTCAACGTGCTATAAACAACTACAGGCATTCTTACCTTACCTTGGCACATATATGCCCCTGCACGTTATAATCATCATAACATGGCAAA